CCGGGTGGTCCGAAGTCAAACGCACCATCATGGTGCTCGCCCTCGACCTCTGCGGATTCACCGACAGCGGCGGGTGTGACCTCATTGTCATCGTCGCCATCCTGATTTGCTGCATCGTTCGTTACCATTGCCAATATTTCCGAAAAGTGCTCCTTGAGGTCGTCTACCGTAGGGCGATGCCTGTTACTCCGAAGTTTACCATCACTCACAAGGTATGGGATGTCGTCCTTGACTTGTAAGTGCACGAATCCCTGCTTTGGTGTAACCATGAAAGGTAGTTTACCAGGCATCCAGTGAAATGCATAGCCCATCTTCATGCACCTCCTCCCTACTGACAACACCGTGGGTGTCTCATCCAACACGTGCGGCTCGACAGTCTCATCCAACTCGTCCACGACTATCTTGGCCACGTCGGACGTGGAAGTGGAACCATTTGCGGTCTGGAACACAATCTCGTCATCATCTTTCACAATGTCGACACCCAGGCTCTTTGCCTTGGCTCGTCCGATGAGATCATGACCACATCCGGTGTCCATCAACCACTTCACCCGTTTGCTGATGCACGTTGACATTGCGAACACATTCTTCGGCAAACCATGCTGTTTCTTCCAGTCTACGGCCGACTCTCTGATCTCGTCCTTGTTCCGATCATATTCAAACATTATGCTGCTCTCCTTGGTTACCGGGAAGTAGTGTTTCTTGTACACGTCGTCTACCACCTCTCTCAGTATTCTCGCTCTTATCAATGATCGTTGGACTTGATAGGCTGATAATTCTCGATGATCACTGCTCTTAAACTTCTTCTCGTCGACGTGCACGTACTGATAAGGCTCATTCTCATTGTCCTCATAGCCGTACCATTCCCCTTTTCGTTCCCATTGCCTTCTCTCGTCTTCGAGATATGTGATCTCTCCATTCTCGTCGACATCGAGTACTTCCTTGAACCATACCATTTTCTCGGGGATCTCGGACTCGCCAGACCATCTCGATGATTCGCTCATCACGTCGTCATCGTGCTCGTGGTAGACAGTCTCGGCTTCATCCGGTTCGACCTGGTCAACGTCCTTCTTGAAGCTGACCTTTCCCGCAGGAGCCGATTGCTTCAGGACTATCGCAGGCATCGCGATGGCCCTTCTTGCAATAGCTGGCGCTGCGGCCTTGGCGGCAGCCTTCGACTTGGCTTGTGCCTTGTCGCTTGACGTTGCCGGAGCTGAATTGTTCTTGATGAGCTCGTGCCTATACTTGCAAGCACTCCCTCTGTCGCATTTTCCCTTCTGAAACGCGAAGCATGCTCCATCATCCCTCTTTGGTGACGATGATCTGGATTTGGACTTACCTTTTCCTTTCCCTTTGGACATGTTCTCCAGCTTGTGCTCCGTCTTCTTGCTGTGGGAAAATGTGCATTCATTCCCTTTTACGCATCCCTTCGCTGACTTGAAGTGATACCAACATGGGTTATCTTTACCTCCGCCCGGACTCTTGCCTCTGTCGCTGGCACCGTCGGACTTGCCGTTCTTGCCAGCGTGACCCTTTGCTTTGGCCTTTGGGAGTACAGGAGCAGCATCAGGTCCACTGGGTTTCCCCTTTCTGCCTTTGCCACCCTGGTTCTCCTGTTTGCCAGTGGCTGGGGCTGCATCTCTGCCGCCCGACTTCATCATCGACTTGACCGATCTCTCCTTCATGTCAAGCATCAGGTCCTCCCGATCCGCCTTGATCTGATGGTCGATCAATGCCAACAAGAATTCGTACGTCTTTTGAGGATGCTTGTCCGGCAATCTATGGTAGGCGTTGAGGCCGAACTCCATCTTCTTGCTCCCTTTGATCTTCCTGTAGAGAATATCTCTGAGAGCCAACTTGCTGGGTCTGTCTTCGCTCCTCATCTTTAGCAACAAATCATACCACTTGTTCCTGAATATAACCAAATTCTTGTCTCCAGGAAAGTCAAGGTTGAATAGGTGCTCGATGTGGTAGACAAGATCCGTTCTATCAGATGTTCTGAATGATTGCATAACCAATGCCACCAACTCTCGTCCCTTCACGATCACCCCTTGTTGATGTCGTAGTTCCGAATGTCGCGTAGCGTCGAGGTACACATCTTTGGCTTCGTCAGGTGCTTGTTTCAACATGTTCTGCATGCCCATGGCCATCTTGATATCTATCGTAGCAAATCTGTCGCCGCCGGAGTCGCTCAGCACATTCAGGTCTGGGTTTAACCCAAGAGCCTGTTCCAACCGTTTCGTCCATGTGTCAGTATCTGGATCTGCGCATGCGCTCAGAACGTTCATCAGCAGTTGCATCTTCCAGTTATCGAGTTGATGAATCTTTGGCCAAGCAGGAATAGACACCCTCTCGGCTTCTTTCCTCGAAATCCTCGGTCTTTCGTTCTTGATTTCTCGATCATCCCTCGATCTTCTGCGCCTCCTCCGTGTCCGATTGTCATCTTCTTCCTCTTCTTCTTCCTCGTCCTCTTCATCCTCTTCGTCGTCGTCATCCTCGTCCTCATCGTCGGGTGGGTCATCCGGAGGTCCTCCTCCGCCACCTGTGAGGCTCAACTGACGTCGACTTGCCCCTTGTCTATTTCCATTGGGCGAGAATCCACCGTAATCCAATGGGGGTGTAGTACCGTTGTTTCCCCCTCCATCACCACCACCACCAGTTGTAGTAGCGGATTGTGGGACATGCCCAACAACCCCTTGCATATGGGATAGGTGTACATCGATCATTGGATCACCAAAAGACGGAAAGAGAATCGAACCTGGCATTATTGACGAATTAGGGATCAGATTCGATGATGATGACGGGAATAACCCAGTCACCCTCTTGTCTACCCTAGTCGAATTAGCTTGGGGTCCTCCCTCAGCGCGTTTCACTACTGCTCGTTCACGATGTCCATCTTTACTGCTAGAGGCTTCCTGTGTCTCCAGCTTCTTGAGGCTCGTAGTTCCTCATTGTCAGCATCGAGTTGACGAACAAAACTCTCTTCTTGCTTGAGCGTCGCCTCCCGGTCCTTCAGTTGTCCCTGAAGTTCATGCATCTCCTCGAGGTACTCATCATACACTCCCTTAGCTGTCAATCTCCAGTACTCGGCCTCCTTCGACTTCTCGTCCATCGTGCACCGTTCTTCTTGCTTTGCTTCTTTGACCTGGGCCAATTCCAAGATCGCATCTTGACGATGACCACCCTCGATAGCAATCATCTGGTCCTTCTTCAATACGTCGGATTCGTACTGTTTGACGATCTCTTCCTTCTCGCGAAGTAAGCATTCTGCTCTCTTCGATTCTTGTTCCGCGAATATTGTAACGTCGTTCAGTCTCGCCATCAGCTTTTCCCTGGAGTCCTCCATAGAGTACGTCTCGGGGCGTTTGACGAGTGCGTGCTCCAACTGTGATCTTAGACTTTGGACCATCTCCTCCTCGTTGAACTTCTCGATAGATGTAGACGATTCGATGCCTCTGATCTGTTGCTGATAAACTGATATTTGTTGCGAAGCTTCACGGTGTATCTGATTTGCATGTATAGCTGATTCCTGCGCGGCCGACTTCTCGCTTGCCATGTAGGATTTCATCACTGCAATCTCCCGCTTCTGCTCCATAATAGTTCCTTCAGCTTGTCTCATCTGTTGTATTATAACATTCGACTCCATGTCTTTCTTTTCCCCGTACTGATATGCGTTCATTTCCACCTTGCGCATCTGTTGGGCTTCCTCCTCAAACTTGCGCCATGCCTCAGCCATGTGGTGTTGGTGGTGACTCACAAGATGTCCCGATTGCTTGCTGGCAATCTCGCATCGTCTCTCCAGCTCCTGAATCCGGATGGTGCTCCCATAGTCTTCTTGATGAAGATTTGCCATCGCTGCCGACATTTCATCAAGTGTCTTTTGATATTCCCCGATCTCCATCTCCATCTTGTTCTTTTCTTTAATCGCGGCGCGAAACTCTGCACTGGTGGGTGATTTAGACCTCCCACCTTTAGATGTTGATCTCACGCCCTTCTGCGACGTCCGTGGTGTCGCAGGCGAAGATGACGCTCTTCTTGGCGGGGATTCTCTTTGCTTCGACTCCTGATGAACATCGATCTGCTTCCATGATCTTGTGGGAGTGGATATGTCGCTGAATAGCGCGGATCCTCCGCTCCCAGGTTCATCCTGTGAATCTGCGATCATATCCATCACCGCAGGAAGAGCCATCAATCCGTTGGATCCCTCTGAGCTGCTGTTCCCAAAAGTTGCAGTACTTGGGCTCGCTGAAGATGCCATTGTACCGTGTAGGTTATTGTCCCTTTATTGTCCCTGTACCCGCAATAGACCAGCTGTCTCTCTGTCCAGTGTAGAGCTTGTCGATACGGCTGATAACCTGTCAAGAGACGGCAAGGTGACGTCCCGTGGGACGCTGTCCACCGAACCCTCCAGCTGTAATACCAACCACGTAGAAAGGTGTGTACGGTCAAACCGTTATAGCCGAACCCGTGTAAACGTTGTAAGGGAGAAGGAATAATAGTTACAACAGTGGTCCTGACAAATGCAGCTCAAGCGAAGTGTTTTCCGCTCTCAATTGCCGATCACGTATGAACGCAGCTACACATAAGATCTTGAACCTCACTTGTGTCTTGAGCCAAATGGCGATCAATGGAACCTGGTAAGCAACACAAACACGGACCTCAGAACTGCTTCCCAATTTAGGCACGGGGCCTGGAGGGTTTTAACACCATCCCATGGTTTCCTTTCATGTACTCCCCAAACGGTCCATTCCCAACACCCGGAACCGTCATTCCCCACCTGTCGCATCAGCAAGTTTGGATGAACCGGGCGGGATTCAAAGGCTTGGTCGCAGGAAAACTTACCGGAAATGACTCCAAAACACCCTAAATCAGCTGTTTTTTGTCGAATTTCAAAAACAAAAAAAACTTTCAGGGATCCCCAAGTAAAGGACCTTTATCATGGTGAGCTCGCTTTACCGCCAGGTGAGCTCGCTTTCAAATAGGCAGATCCATTGCCAGGCCGCTGTTCGATGTGGAGATGGCGGCGTCGCCAGTCCCGCACCATGAGGTCCCCGCGGCCATCCCACTCCTCAGCGTCCTCGGCGTCCAGCATCTCCTCGTACTGCCTCAGCGCCACGCTACAATGTTACAAATACGGCGAGAAAATGGGGACGCATTTCTTGGCGGGGTCCTACTGTGGATGGACAAACATCCACATCGCACCACTTTGATGCCATAGGAAGCCATTGTTCGTTGGTATTTGCAGGGGACGTCATTCCAGGTTTCTTAGGTGGTGCAGGATTTCGTCCATCCACAGTATGGATCTGAAGACATGACATGATCGAAGAATAGGCATTTCTAACACTCTAGGACTGTCGCAGTCCTACGGAAACAAATGGATTGCAAACATGGAAGCCCACAAGAAGCCTTTCCACTCACTTCCTGAGTTGATGGGCCAAAACAAGTCCACACTTGTTGTCTGCCGAATGGCCCAATCCCAAAAGTGCCTAACGTCCATGATCTCAGGAAGAGAACAGTGAGTTTCCAAAACAAAAAGGGCCCAGCAGCGCGAACTGCATGGCGAGGCCCGTGTCTTCTTGCAGCTCCTGCAAGTGAATGCCGGAACTGCTGAATGCAGCGTAACCTCTTTGAACCAATCCTGGAGACAGAAAAGGGAGCATCTATGCTGGTAAGCGGACGTGGTTGTATTGGTGTTCACTTCGGTTTTCCTGAGGTCTAGGGCTGCTTCAAGGTATGAAATTAATGGGGGGGGACGCTGTGGTGGGCATCATTCATGTTCAGCCCATTTGGAGGTGGTGCCAGGTTAAAACTCATTGCTGGCAAAGGCATAACTTATTGTTGACATTTGTCCCGCGCTGCTGTCCTAGGTGAGTTGGGGTGAGGGTTGGGTCAGGATGGTTGAAAAAAGGGTTGGATGTGGGTTGTTTGAGGATAGGGCCTCGGGATATAGGTGGGCTTTAGGTTAGTTTAAGCAAGAGTGTGTTGGTTTGATTTGGTGCTGGTCCAGAATTGATTCCATAAATTCGAGGGTTTCCGGTTTGGGGCCCAAAAGGAAACAACAAACCGTCCAAGTGCGCTGCTCGCACATCTTCACGCTTGAACAGCCACACTGCGGATGCAATTGATGTTAACCCCCCAAACTGACCGAATGGATTCTTCACCCCCCTCTGCGTGTTAAAGGGGCCTTTCACAAAGCAGCCAAACAGAAACACAACAGAGGGAAGACGGTCGGAGGAAACACAAATCTGTTCACATGCAAATCCGTGACGGATGCATTTGACGCCACCCCAGGTAGACTGTCGGCCACTGCCGCTACTACCACCCCATGTGCTCCATTCATCGTTGGGCAACAGCAGGTACCCGGCCTGACAATGCCATGCCAGGATGGTCTGCTGGCAGCTCTCGCGGTCATGCGCATCGAACAACGGAGCTAGTTGAATTGTAGCGATCGTTGCCCAAGTGGCCAAGCCCTCTGCGCCTTCTTCACAAAGCGCTGCCATGGTCTGGTGCCTTGCTGAAAGTAGTGAACACTGCACTGAAGCACGGACGCAGCGTGCTCAGATCTGACATCTCCGGAATGCATAGGCAAGGCGTCACAACCTGAAGGGACCTCATTGATTGTCATCTTTAAAGTAGGATGAGCGACTGCTGAAGGCATCTAGTCTCCTTTTCGGCACGTGTCAAATAGGGGGCTCCCAAACGGCTGGCTCGTCTTGGCCGACCCCGACGCGCCGCTGCCCCTCTCCTGGATCGCCTCAGCCACGAGAGACGACTGCGCGCGCCCTCCGCCTCGCCTCCGTACGCGCGGCTGGAGCAGAGCAAGGCGGGTGACATCCCTCCTCCACCACACGTCATGAGAACCAAAACGGTTATCAGTGCCCATCCCCCATACTGCGGAATTCGGCAGACAGATGACACCCTTCCCAGGGATTCCCCGCCAGATGGCGCAACCCAAGCAAGATTGGCAACATTCAAGACACATACGGTGGGTTGTCACAGTGCGGGAAAAATCGAAGGGCCGGCACTGCCGGAAATACTATCCAGAGTCACAACTGCCCGCTTCCATGTAGCGTTTTGGAGACGCGTTCCTCAAGGAACAGTGCCCCACAGCTTTCCCAACAAATGGTGAAAACCCTTTGGGTACGCAGCGAATAAGACCGGAAGCGTTTGTTTCAGCCTTGCTGTGGGTTGCCACAATGCAGGAGACCAACCGGCAATGCCAGACACACCAAGAAGTCAGCTTCCGCCCAAAGTTTCGGAGGCTCGTTCCTTGATGTCGGCGGACATCAGTTTCAAGGAACAATGCCCCACAGCACGAAAGGTCCGGCACGCTGCCTCCCTGAATCCTAAATTCGCAGGGCTTTCCCAACAAATGGAGAAAACTCTTTAGGTACGCAGCGAAGACCGGAAGCATTTGTTTGACACGTACTGTCGGTTACCACAATGCAGCCGAAGTCGACCGACCGACAATGCCGGAAATGTCTTGGAGGCTTGTTGCTTGATGTTGGCGGACATCAGTTTCAAGGAACCATGCCCCACAGCGTGAAAGGTCTGGCATACTGCCTCAGTCGCAGGAATTTCCTAGTAGATGATGAAAACCGAAGCGGTACAACAAAGAACAAGAATGGCCGCATTTGCTTCAGCCTTGCTGTGGGTCGCCGCAAGGCAGGAGAAGTCGACTGACCGGCAAACCCATATGTCGAGGAACCGCTTCCGGAGACAAGCCCGCCATCCTCTCCCAAATTTGACTGAGGCCTCCACGCGCGGCAGGGGCTCCACTTCGAGTCGACCTAGCATGTTAACTGTTAGCAACAATTGCGGCAACCTGCTTTCTCCGGCAATGGGCTGCACGCCGCGAGACCAGGATCACAACCTACGACCCTTTGCCCACACAGACGCACGCATCTAAAACAAGCTCTTAATTCGACAACTTCGGTATACCGCGCGGCTTCCAGTCAGAAGCAAAAAGGCGGTCGAGCTGCCTGGATGGCTTGCCTACTAGTCTCAGTCTCATTCACGGCGCCCTTGACGAAGACTAGCTCGTGCCGGCCTCCTCGCTGTCCAGACCGTCGGTGCACAGTTCTTTCCAAACGAAGGCGGCCAGCCTCTGCGTGGACCCCGTAAACGCTGAAGCAAAGGTGTCGCATAGCTGAGCACGATTGGGTCAACCTGCTCGGAGTCATCATTGGGTGACTGCACGCTGCTTTGATGGCAAGACCCATTCAAAACGGCCATTTTAAAGACAATGCTTCCACTTTGCACAAACTGCCTTGGCGCCATAAAACCTTCATAGTTTGCGAACCACCCAATTTTGAGCTGCGTGCCTGATCTTCGGGCTCAGGCGATGGCCGAACAAAGGTAAGATCAGAGCACGACAGGCTTCGCGGTCACAAACAACAAAAGTAGACGCAGAAATACGCCACCAAGAGCAGTTTTCTCCGAACAGCCTCGACATTATCACCGCCAAAGACATGATCTCCCCGAGTCCACCCGGGCGTGAGCCAGGCTTTGCGCGAAACGCAAGGTCACCAAAAAAGAGAGAAGCAGAACTACGCCACTAAGAGCAGTTTTCTCCTAACAGCCTCGACAATATCACCGCCAAAGACATGATCTCCCCAAGTCAGTTCTAAACCTAGTCCACCCGGGCGTGAGCCCGCTTGTGTGGGCGTGAGCCCGAACCACCCACGACTACACAAACATTAGTGATCTGTTTGTGTGTGTGTTTCACTGCCGACATCCAACTTCACATGACGCCGGCATCACGTCTAGGCCTGCTGGAAAGTAACAACTCGCATCCAAGCTGGGCAACTTCACACGACGGGGAAGACATGGCACCGAAAAGCAACAAAGGTTCTCGCCGTCCCCAACCGTAAAGAAAACGGCAGAAAGTGCAACTCTAGCTTTTATCGACAACAGTGCTTCTGGCCAACCCCTAGTGAAAAGGACGCGGGCTTTGCAACATGAATTAAAGGTCCAGGGCAACGTATATGGCAGACTACACCTGACTCCGGAGCTGCCTAACAGGGTCCAATTGGCCTGATGGGCCCCATCTGCCCCATGTGTCATCGGCAATGGCAGGAGCGCGGGGTTCGTCTCCTTTAAAATTGCTGTCACCGGACGAACTGGCAACAGCAATGAAAGCGATCCGCGCAGCAGCTGCTCGCACTGCCCACCGACCGGCCGGGGAACGTATCAACGGAATCATGCGTGTGAGGTTGTTTTCATGGGAAGCGTCTGCACCTGGAGCTCTGTGGCGCTGTGTGTCCATGCCCCCATGAGTAGAATGTCATCGACATTCTTGGAGAGTGCCGCGCTCCTGCTATCCAGTGCTGCCAATCAGCTCCGCGGGGTTTCTTCTCACAACCTCGAGCAAAAAAGGAGAAACTATATTCCCCCTTGCTGGGGTTCAAACGTACTTGGTCTGTGGCTGAGAGTAAGGTTTTACCCACAGCAAGAACCGCAAGGAGGCCTCGCGTGTCTGTAGCATGTAGCCACAAGCATATGGTCAGCTACCTGTGCCCGGATCTGGGCCTGGAAAATTGGCCGCCGTTAAAAGCCAATTGTTGCTATTGTGTTCTGCATTGGCCCAGCACATGGCCTTGTCAGGAAAAACGAGTGAGTCTGCATGGGTGCCCAACAAGGTATGAGCAAATGGTCCACAGAGTGCGACAGCGCTCTGCATCGACTTGTATCGTACATGCATTGTTCGAGGGGTGAGAGAAGACGGAGTCGAGAAACTAGCGGCTGAGTCGGGAAACGTGAGTCGGGAAACAGACGGAGGCGAGTCGAGAAACCGAGAGAGGCGAGTCAGGAAACAGGAGGAGGCAAGTCGGGAAACATCGAGAGGCAAGTCGAGAAGCATGAGCGACAAAGAAAAACCCCACGACAGGACACGGGGCTTGGGAAACAGTACACGCGCGTTGCGAAGCCGTGAGTCGGTTGTAGTCTTTGGGAGAGATTCGGGAAGCCGTTTCCAATTTGATACGTAGCTGCTGTCGAGTCGTGTTTGTATCCCGGATTGGGCGTCTGCGTGTTTCGGGACTGCGGGCCCGGTACCCTGGCTTCGGTATTCTTCCACTGCGGCAGACTGAGCAGAAAACATGAAATTCTTGCACTGAACACAAAGCCTGCCGGAGCTGCGGCGCCGGCCTTGGGCGTCGGGCTTTGCTTGCATTGACCTTGGACACGCGCTCTCGGTTCTCGCGAAGCCCCCTTTCAATCAGATCCCTCATGCGTCGCACCAGGAAATCATATGACTTGTTAGGGTCATCGTCACGGCAGCGATCATATGTGTCAATGTCATACCGCAAGAGATGGCAGCTTCTCACTTGGCGAAGCAAAATGTCTTTCAAAACCTTCTCTTCGGGTGGCTTCATGCCAGCAATGACTGAATCCCAAGCTTTGAGGAATCGCTTGAGGTCAATGATCCCCTCGCCGTGCGAGACACGCAACATATCTTCCAAGGTAGAGGTTGCCGGCTTCTTCACTGGTTCCTGGTTTTGAAGTACTGGTCGAACATGAACAAGACCTGCCTTCCCCTCATGGCCTTTCCCTCCTTGGCGCACTCCTCCTTTGCCGTCAGAATTCGCTGAGCAAGGTCACCCTTCGCCGAGCGCGTGAGCGCTGCGAGAATCTTCGTGTCAAGAGTCACGAATTTGCCGGGCTCGCCAAGCTCTTCCAACAGCTTCTTCTTGTCCTCGCGATCCGACCACACTTCCATGATCCAAGGCCAAGCCTCATCTGGTCGGTCGGATGCAGCGCGAACGTCCTCACGAACTGACGTCTTCCACTCACGGTACGTTTCAGTCTCGCTTTCGCGAGTTCTGGGCTTCTCATCGTTCGTGTGGCCTTTCACTACTAGCTTTATCAGCATTTTGGCGAAAGCTTCTTGACCGAGGTTGGCTCCAAGGCCATCCCCTTCATCCTCATCACCCTCGCCATCGCCATTCTTGTCATCGCCGGGTGGCGGACCGTCGGGCGGCTTTCCTCCCTGCTTACGGTCGGCTGGAATCGGCCCCTGAAATTTCCGCTGATCCCTGCGGACCGCGAGCATCGGATTTCAATGCTTCACGCTCAGCAGGTGGCATTATGCTAGGAGTGTACTCAGCTTCGTAACCATCACTAGTGACAAATGCTCTCAGCTTCTCCTTGGCGTACTGAAACACTGAAACGGGTGGGACAATGGATCCAAATGAGACTTCTGTGACCGAGCTGATTTCATGTCCTCGGTCAACTCTGGCGAATCCTCACGGGTATCGCCCACGCCTTTGGGCTTCGAACCTTCCCCGCAGAAGTCGTAATGCTTCATGTGCTGGTTGAGGTCATCGATCTCCTCCTGCAGAAGCCTGTTTTGCACGGCCATCATGTCAACAGTCCTAGCATGCGTGGCTGCGGCACGCGCGACATCATCCGCATGCTTTGCAGCTTGCTGTCCGAAAAGCTGCTGAGCATCAGCTAGTGTCACTTCAACGGCCGGCTTGAACTCACTCGTTTTACGCATCATTTCCGTTTCGTGCATTGCCTGGGCCTTTTCCTCACATGATCGGCTTATCCTAGCCTTTGCGTGATTCAACTCGAAGTTGAACTCATCACTCACTCGCTGTTCGTATTTACGAATCCTATGCGACTGGGCTTGCGCACACTCAGCGTGATGTGCATGCAGCTGGTTTTGTGCGACACGGAGCTCCTCACGGTTTTCCGCTTGCAGGTGCATTACAGCATGCAGTGCTTCGGCTTCTGACCTAATGGCTGCATCGTTCCCAAAAGCGAAAAACTGCGGCATTGTACAGTTGAAGGGAATTCATTAGAGTACGGTTATGCTGGGCGTTCATGCTAAATGCGTGAATGCGCGCGCCGTCGCCGGTGGCGTTGTCGGAGCTTGCTCCCACACCGTCCACAGGCATCTCGGATCCATCAACTGGCACAAGGGAACCGTCCATTGCTCTAAGCTAGGGGCCTACGGCTGATAACCTATAGATTCGAGGGTTGCCGGTTTGGGGCCCAAAAGGAAACAACAAACCGTCCAAGTGCGCTGCTCGCACATTTTCACGCTTGAACAGCCACACTGCGGATGCAATTGATGTTAACACTTCAATCTGACCGAATGAATTCTTCAGATTCTTGATGCTTCCTTGTACGACACTGGGGCAAAAGCGTTTTCAAAAAAGGGGAATCCATGCGCTTTCCCCGTTTTCAAAGGGCTTCAGGGGTCAACGCATGGGTTGCAGAATTGTTCCAAGAGTCGCTGAAGACACGCCAGCTCGCACTTTCAGTCCAATCCTGGCAACTGGTCGTCCTTAATTGCGGCAACCCCTGCAAATGAATGGGGGGCTGACTGAGTAAATGGGAAACTGGGCCGCTGGTGGAACTTACTGGATGTTTACGTGCCCACTGACTGGAGTGCAGACGGGTCGAGCAAATCGTGGTGCCCTACTTTCATTCTGAAAGGAGCTGTTGAATGTAACATGCATTCTAGTTGCGTCGAGAAGCGGCGACAAACATCCGAATGGTTCAAATTATCCGTTTCCAAATCGGGAAGGGCACTCTGCGCCGGTGTCTTCCCTTTCGACTCGCGAAAACCACCGAGACCACTCCCGACTCTGGGTCCTGCAGCTGCTCCAGGATTGCCTTCTCCTGGCGAGAGGAACTCTCGCCTATGGTTCTTGTCAGGAGTGGGGAAAGTGGCGAAACAACAACACAGAACATCCCCCCAAGAAAAAAAAACACACACGCAAAACAAACTGACCCAAGATATCTGGTGTCCATCTTAGCTGCTCCATGAATATGACCCAATGAAAGAAGAATTCTGCTTCCTTACTGTGCAGGGCACGTAACGAAGTGTCAAGAGTCCTTTCATGCAACCTGTGGTTTGGGTGCATCCCGGGCTCACCATCCCTCGGCATAAGCTGCACCTATCCAACAAGCGGCACCCTTGGGGCCCCCAAACTCCAGGGTTGCCTCCATGTCCCTCCCCAAGAAGCCAAAACCGGCAGGACATGTCTACCGAACGTCTCTGGGTGCCAAGTAAATCCTGACAAACTATTACAAACAGAGAGGATTTGGAAACTATAAGTTGCAGGTCGCTCCCCCCCTCACCCACCCAATCACGAGCTGACCCACGCACTCACCCACTCACCTCACCTCACCTCACCTCACCTCACCTCACTCACCTCACCTGTCACCTCACCTCACTCACCTCACTCACCTCACTCACTCAATCACTCACACTCCCTCCCTCCCTCCCTCCGCCCCTCCCTCCTTCCCTCCCTCCCTCCCTCCCTCCCTCGCTCCCTCCCTCCCTCCCTCCCTCCCTCACTCACTCACTCACTCACTCACTCACTCACTCACTCACTCACTCACTCACTCACTCACTCACTCACTCACTCACTCACTCACCTGACTCACGCACCCACTGATTCACTCACTCACTCGCTCGCTCGCTCGCTCAGTCACTCCCTCACTCAACGCTTGAAGATGGGGTATGTAGCACGCTCTCATGTGCCAGCGTGAATGCGCTTTGGGCCCTCACTTAGCCCTTACCATGGTTGACCATTGGCCCTCACGCTGCTCGACTGCGCATGGTCTGACCCAGCGGTCCTCCCACTCCATCGACATGGAGCCGCAGCCCTGGCCCGGACGCAGAATGGGCCGTGGTTTTTAGCATCCAGCACCCCCCCAACTTGACGGCTTCTTCAACCACATCCCTTTTGGTACTGTCCAAAAAGCAGTTGGGGGGCGCTGGTGGGGGTATTTTATACTTTTGCTGACCTGTTGAATGTGCGGAAAACATCGTTGCCTGCCTGTTGGAACCTGTTGGCTGTATTGGTTCCTCTGGGGGTGGCCCTCTGTGTATCTAGTCTGGGGGTGGCCCTCGAGTCAATGTAAACTTGCCTCTGATTAGTGGTCTGGATTGGTGGTTTGGTGGTTCAGGGATGGATTCCCACTAACCGTCCACAAGAACCAGTGGCTTAACCACCCAAGTCACCAATCCAAAGCACTAACCTGATGAAGCACAATGCATGGAAAAACAGAAACAGCCCAGCCGGCACTCGCTGGGCGGCCAACAGCCAGTTGTTTCAACATGGGGCCTCGTTCACAAATGATCCTAATTCAGGCATGTTTTCTTCTTGGACCTTTCTGCTAGTTTCCTTGGGAGGGCCTGCCATCGGTCTTGGTCCTGGCACGGAATGCCGAATTCCTGAAACAATATGTAGAGGATGAATCTGTGGATCAAGTAACTTAAGAGCTTCTACCAAACGCTTGTCAAGCCCCTTCTCCTCCAACCAAAATTCGGCTGCAACTGACTGTTCCGAGCGGCTGATGAGCTTCGTGTTTCAACTCCCTTGACGAACTGGGGGGCGCTGTTTTTCCGACCCCACACTTTTTGGGGGCCACAGGGCAACATGGAGGCCAGAATACAGCGGGCTGTCCCTGGGTGGAATGTGGGGACAACCAAAATTTGGAGGGGGGGGGCCCGACCCCATATTGAACTGGTTGGTTGGTCAATCTGGGGACAACATTACAAGAGAAACCTTGATCGACGGATCCCCCCCCCATCCCTCTCACCCTAAGCCACCACCACCACCACCACCCCCCCCCCCCCCGTCCGTCGTTTTAACTTGCGGCTTGCAGGCCGTCGCTTGGATCTCCTTGAGCCGCGCCAGCAGCACAGAGCTCTGCGGCAAGCCGGTCTCTCCGCAGCCCAGCAGCATTTGGCCAGCGCCTGCAGACAGAATTTGGATGACAGGGATTTGGACTGACATGGATCTCGGTTTTCCTGTTGGTTTCCCTTGGGTGAAAAGGATGCCCTCAAAAGTTGAGACTGTCCTTAAGAGGAGCCAAATGGGAACCAACCCTGTGGAAACCCAAGCTATCCCGGATCGGATCGGATGCACAAAGGGGGCGAACGAGGCTCTTTCTTGCGTTTCCTTCCATACCTGAAAAAAGCTTCCGCGTCTAGTTGTTCACACGGACCTTTGCAAACTGGCAGTAAGGGCACAAGCCCTCCAACCTTTCCAAGTGCGCGGTGTGTGCTCACGCAGGCCTGACAGAATTCAACTTGATTACGCAAGAAAGACTCGAACCCAGAGGTTCCCCTTTCGGGGAAATCAGCCGGTTCAACGTATAGACCTTGAGTTGTGCTCTCTTGCTTGTCAGCGCGCGAAGCGCGGGAAATGAAACCCTCGACTCAGTCCAGGGTTAATTGTTTCGAGCCTTTGCGGCTCCCAACCGGATGGTTGTCAACAACAAGTTCCAAAAGTGAAATCTGAGTCCCATGCGTCGCCATGTTTTGGCCCCCAGCTCTTGGGTTGCGAAAAACCAATCGGCTGCCTGCCGGGGCACCATTCAACAGCGCCTCCGCTGCCAGCTCCACGTCCCCTGTGGCTTGAAGAGCCGCAGCAGCCTACGGGTCACTGGCCATGGGTGAAAATCCAATATAGATTCAAGGGTCACCGGTTTGGGGCCCAAAAGGAAACAACAAACCGTCCAAGTGCGCTGCTCGCACATTTTCACGCTTGAACAGCCACACTGCGGATGCAATGGATGTAAAACCCCATACTGACCGATCAAATTCTTCACCCCCCTCTGCGTGTTAAAGGGGCCTTTCACAAAGCAGCCAAACAGTAACACAACAGAGGGAGAAGGTCAGGGGAACCATTGACACATGCAAACCATGACAGTTGCGCTTTTAGCGCCACTGCCACGTAGAGTAGTTTCCGTTACTGTTGTCCCATCCGCTCCATCCGGACCAGTTCTGCCAGCTGCCTTGGCTCCAATGCTCACCCTCGCGGGCGGCGGGAGCACGTGCATCGGCATAGCGAGCGGCGTTGCGAGCGAGGTGCTTGCTGCTCTCGTTCCTCGAAAACTCAATCGAGTTACGAGCATAACGCTCATTCTGGCTGAAAATCCAGTCCATCTCGTTGCGGAGGTCCTCCAACGTGTTGCTTCGCAAATGGATGATGCCATTCCAACAACCGATGCTGCGAGGCTTGTCTTGTTCAAAGACCACGTTGATAAAAGCCCTTGGGCTATAAGGCATCCCTTGGAACATAATGATCCAGCGAGAGGTAAGCGCATCTTGGAGTTCGTTGGGCAAGAACTCCAACTCCGTCTTGATATACGCGAGCCTTGCGATTCGCGACTCTGAAGTTGATCCAAGGCCAACTCCCAGAGTGCGCTGGGCTTGCGACTGCTTTGGAGCAGCCAAGACGAGATTTGCACTCAGCTCCATGCGGAGCATGTCCGCCTCCCGACGGCCCACCTCAAGCATACGAACCCTGTATTGAAGGTCGAGTTCATAGCGATCAAGCAGAGAGTGGTAGCCGTTCTTCAGAGCGGACTTGTGCTTCTTCCGGGCCTCCTGAATAACAGCACTGTCCGGGGAGTTCAAGCCACGAATGATGCTGCTACGATCCTCCTCGCGGAGGTCAAAAGTTCCCACGGATGCCAAAACCTGGGCTGTGACATGGGTGCTGAGGCCCATCTTGTTCAGCAAATTGGAACGCTGCACAATGTAATTCCTCTGCTGTTCTTTCAGCAGCCGAGGATTGAGGGGAGACAACTGCCCACATGACGAGCAGTGGACCTGCCCCTCGAACACACTGTTGTTGCAGACCGGGCACGTGGCGACATTCAGCTCAACGTTCTCCATTGGGTTGAAAGTCTTCTGTCTCTTCGCTTCCCCTTGCGGGGCGCGAGGAGACGCCACATTGGTGCGGGTTGTAGCAATACGTTCCAGCGCTGTAGATCGATCATCAACCACGGCTTGGTCGCGCTTCATCCCCTGCGATTCATCCTCATTCGCCTCAGCTGGTGCACCTGCATCCGATTGCTCGGAGCGAGTGTACCATACATCGCCATTTGTAGCGTCCAATACGAAATAATCGTGTAGTTGGGCACCTTGTCGCGCGTAAGGACGCCATCGCTCTCCGTCTTGAAAAAGCAAAGCCCTGCGCGAATGGCCATCCTGAGGTCGATCTGTATCTCCAAGGGCTTGTTAGCACGTACACCTGAGATGTAATTTTCATTCGTGCTCGGAATGTCAGCGAAGAAAACGTGAGGTCTGCCTGTCTCGTGCTGGTCCCCTCCTCCTGGAAGCAGTCCGTTTCGCATTATGCTGGCAAAGTTCCGCTTATCGGTGCGATGATAGAGCACCGTAGGAGGGTTGCTGCAGACGTTCCAGCCAGACCAGCGCCCGAGGTCGGTCCCCGGGTTCACGTACCACTCCTTCGCGATGCCGGAGTCGTCGATTTGGAGCCAGTCCTCATGTCCTTGAGAGGCCTTTATCTTGAAAAGCCAATGCGAACATGGGACGTCTCCGCACCGGCCTGCGTCCGGGCAACCAAGCGCAATGAACCTCTGCTTTTTGTCCAGCTTGAAGATGTCCATGATATTCTGAATATTCCATGGAATGGGATGTCGCAGCTCCTTGCGAAGCGCGAGTCCCAGGTCTTCGAGGTCCATGTAGCCGTCCTCATCCATCACGTACCCGCATCCTTCCATTCCACGACCACGGAGGATCTTGGAGATGCACGTCAGGGAACTGTGGTACTCATTGCTGATTCTCCTGACAGAAGGGTCGTAATCGAAAGAGGGCTGCTTGATGATGTCGAGTCTCTTGGGGCCCTCACCGTAGTCGACATACTTCACGCCATCATGGATACTATACACCCAGCAGTCGTAGTGGCCTCCAGTCACGTTCCTCCCGTAGGAGTCGAGTGGTACCGGTCTGCTTGCCGCCTCGTCCCTCTGTGCCACCGCAGCCGCCTTTGCACCGGCTTGCGCCGGGCGAACACTCTCGGAAACATCTGCACCGGAAGGCTCACCTGAAGTTGCAAACTCGGCTGGGTTGACGGGGGCGAAATCGAGGGGCTGCCGGACCTCCACTTCTTCACGGGTGAAAGGGAGCCCAATCATCTCTGACAAGGAAACACCGCACTTCGTTAGCGTTTCCTTGCAGTACGCGAGAACCTCAACGTTGACTGTGCAATCCTCTTGGTGGCGCACCTCGAGCACATCGATCGGACGCATGGTGCAATCATGCGAACGTGTCAGCTCGGCTACGCTGCCCATTGCGGGGCGCAAGATGGAAAGCATATACAACATGTGGTGGGTTCCGCGCATGAACTGGACGGTCTTCGTGATGTTGTCATGACTGAAGCACATATGATACCTGTCCAGCAAATCGATGGTCTCGACAAAGGGTGTAGCATCTACGTACACAAACATATGATTGGGGTCGCCGATGATGTAATCCCGGACTTCCGTCATGAAACGGTCCCAAATCATAGAGAAGCCGTAGAGATAGCTTTTCGCGCCGGTCATGACTCCAAGGCATGCGCAGCCCTTGCGGGCCGCGAAGTCCCTGGTCCAAGCCAGGTGCCGTTTGGAGTCAGCAAGAAGTTGTTCGGCGTCGCCAGTGGGGGTATCATAAGGATATGTACCCGTGGGCTCGAGGCCGTCCTTCCCGACGAGCTCGTTGCCATTCCAGTAAATCATCGGAATGATGGTGGCAGCTGGGTGGTCGGTACGCACCTCGTCGATGAGGGCGGCCAACCGCTTGCGCAGCTGCTGTAAGCCCTTGCCCCAGAGCATTTCTGACCTCCATGCACCGACACGCGCCGGGCGAGAGGCATCCAAACGCTCCGCAAAGTCATACTTGCGAAGCTTGCGCTTCTTGCCCGAAACCATGGACAGTCCTGAATCAGCGACGGTCACATAGATAAGGAGGTCGCGATCTGGTACACGTGGGGCCGGCAAAACCTTCAAGTACGGTTCGCTTATAGTTAACAGGGGTGTAAGCAATTGCAGGTAGTGCGGTTGGTCCTGCACCCATGTATGAATAAGCGACTGTGCAGAGGTCGTCTCGAGGAGGCCCTTGACCGTGGCGGCGAGGTTAGCGTCGTATTTGCCGTTCGTGCATACCGATGTGGTAGCGACATTCTCCATCCACCTCCTCCATGCCGGATCGCAATCCCTCGCGGGATGCGCCATAGCCGTCGCGCTGCTCATTGCGAAAAGGATGCAGCACAATCACTCGAAAGCAACGGCTGCATGGTGGCATGTTCGGAAAATGCATTGTGAACGGCATCAGTGTAAACGTACGTGTATCCCTCAGCTTCCTTCAAATACGTGCCACGGCTTTCGTCATGCTCGTGAGAACCATCACACTTGAAGTACTCAACAACGGAAATAGTGGGCATATTACTGGCAACGACCCATTGCTTTTTCATAGGTTTTCCATTTCTCCCTTTAATGCCGATTTTGCAACCATGGAATTCGTACTTGTTCATCTTGTACTTAGTCAAGAAACTCCATAGTTCGGGCCATTTCCAATAACGACACGCCTTGGGGAGTTCGAAGGCAACTCTAACGTCATCAGAGTAGACATCATTGAGAATGCGTTTGAACCCTCTCAACAGTGATCGGAATTGTTTGATGTGGCCCTCAATCTTGGCGGCACCTTTGGGAGTTTGCTGGTTGACATAACCCCACGGGCATCCTCCAGTGCATGGCAACGAGACATAGAACATTATTGCACCCTTAGGATTCTTGCTCCTGAATTCGGCAATTTCATGGACTAACCACTGCCTGCACGTATCAGAGCACCCGTCTTCGGTTTCAGTTACCCGAATGACACGACAACCTTTTGAAGAGTCTCTTGATTCGCCCAACCGTGAGGTCGTCGAACAACAGAATTCAATAAGGAGGCGCTTGGGCTGAACGTTGCATAACGCAGCGATCTGCCCCCCCTGATCACTAACTTCTCCGGCCTTGGCGCATGGGGAGAGCAGCAAACTGGTGGCACAGGCTCGCGCCTGGCGATTGGGGGAGATACCGATCAGCTCAAGTGCATGGTGCCACACTGGGGTGCTGTCAAACGCCTTGGTCAAGATGTCTGCAGCTTGGAGGGTAGTGTCAACATTGATTAATTCGAACTGCCTATTCACGAATTGCTCCTGGAGCCATCTAAAGCTAATGCGTTGGGTCCTATCCGTGTGCCTTAGCTTCTGTGAGTGTCCCTGCTGCAGGATAGTGATCGTGGCCTGATTGTCTTCCATCAGTTTAACTTTCCACTTATCACTTAGATGCACGGTTAGGGCATTGATGTTCGCTACACTTGTGCCCGCATCAACATTTCCGTACCGAATTTCATCCAACTCGGGGTCGATGCGAGCGACAATGCCATCGGGCACATCAAGGGAGGCTTTTCCCGCCTTTTGAGCATACCCATGTGCTTCTTTCCCAAACAGGCTGAGCTGGCAGAAAAGCGACAGCGTCGGCAATCCCTCTGCTCTGAGCGCCTGGTTCGCAGCGATGACCTCGGCTTCAGTCGAGCTTGTTGCGGTCGCTGTCTGCTTCCTACTGAAGGCATTCAGTGGGTAGTACGTGTTTGGCCCTACC